CCCCGATCGAGGTTCCGAGGCCGAGGATTCGGCGAGGCGCCTGCGGGACCCGTGCCTCCGGGTTCCCACGCCAGCGTGGGGTCGCCCCCGAGGGCGCGCGCGTTCTCCGCGTGTCGGCCTTGGACTCGCGCGGCCGGGTACCGCCCGCTCCACGGAGCTGCCCTCCTCCCCACCCGAGACCTTTAGGTTTAACTTAGAAAAAGCCAGAAGAAAAGGGGCACCGTGTCCTCCGGCGGCCGTGGGCGAGCACACAGGCAGGAGCTGCTGCTGCTGGTGTGGGCGCGCACGGGTGGCCTCGGGGGCGGAGGCTGCACGTTTGGGCGTTTGGCGAAAAGCATAGGACTCGGGTCCCATGAGCTCGCTTAGTAGCTTCACAGAAAAATCCCACGAACAATTACCGGTGTAATTCTGTTGGCGTGGAATGAATCAGAGTTCCTAGACAAACGTTGGGAGACGGCTGGGATCTCGCAGTTCGACATGAAACAGGCTTTCCTCTGGCCCGGGAGGGGCGCCTGGCTGAGAACTTGGTTTTCTGGGAGCCGGTAGTGCTCAGAGGGCCCATGTTTCTGCCTCAGTCGGTATCTCATGAGTCAGGCCATGTAAAGCGACTGGCAGTAAGTACCTAGGTGCTAGGTACTCTTTGTACTTGATCTCATTTAAGCTGAACTCTAAGGTGGTTAAAAGTGCTATTTTGCTGATTAAGAAAAGGAGGCAGAGCCAGGCCGGTGTGCTAAGTGGTTAGCGTCAACCCATGAACCAAAAGGTCACTGTCAGGACACGTGCCCGGGCTGGGGGGCTCCATCCCCTGTAGGGGGAGTGCAGGAGGCCGGCCATCGATGATGTTTCTGTCTCATCCATGTTTCTATCTATCCCTCTCCCTTCCTCTCTCTCTAAAAATCATTAAAATCATATTTTTAAAAAATTTTAAAAAGAAAAGAAAAGGAAGCTGAGAAGTAACTTGGAAGAAAGTTAGTACACTTGGTCATTAGAAAGCTATGTTTGGAGCTAGACTGTGTGGGTTTAAGTTTATTCTGCCTTTGCTGCTTTTGTGACTTGAGACAATTACTTAACTTTCCGAGTCTCAGGAAACTTGTTTTGCATTTGTAAGAGAAGAGTAGAAATAATGTCAACCTCAGAGGACATGGGTTGTGTGAGGAATAAGAGAGATGATGTGTGTAAATCCTTAGCACAGAGCCTAGCACAAGGTAAGCATCATTGTTGTAGATTCACAGTCGTTGGCAGAAATGAAACTGACTTCAGCTCTGGGTATTCCACTGCCGCATGCTGTTTCCTGAGGGTTGGGTTTAAAACAGTCTACGCGCAAGAACATGTTGACTAACCGACCTGCCTATCCATGTAGTGCTCGTTTCTCTTGTCGGTTTTCATATTTCTCATTCTGAAAGGCAACTTAGGTAAGGAAATGTCAATCAAGGTCCTGACAGGAAACCCACTTCAACCCGGATGTTCCAAATGAAGAGACTTTAATACCGGGAGGACCTAGTGGAGGGGCGGGGTTACTGTTTGAAACCATGACAAAGTTACGCTTGGTCTTTCTCTGAAAAACCTTTTTCTTCTAGGATACGTTACTTGGTCTCTCTGGCATGACCTGCCTCCGATGATTTATTACTTTCCCCTGCAAACACTGGAGCTCACCGGGCTGGAAGTTTTTGGCGTAGCTTTTCTCTCTCCGCTATTCCTCATAGCTACACCTGTCTGGAAGCTGGTGCACAAGAAGTGGATGCTGGCCCTACTGCGGATCCTTGCTGTTGGTAATTATTTGAAAGTATTTCTTTACGTTTTATTTTTAGTTAAAAATCAAATGAAAATATGTAGACTGTTCTTTGAATGCTAAATGTTTGAATTAGAAAAAAGAGTTTTCTTTCTCTTACTACTACCTCAAGAGTTTTAGTAAAATTGGAAGAGTAGACAAAAAGCCCATGTATTTTACATTTCTAATTTTCCTATCAGATTGGAAAAGCTTAACTATCATGAAGGACAAAGGGAAAGAAACCGTGGTAAAGAGTTCAACTCTTGAATATATTGTATTCTTTCCCCCCCAAATATGACACAAAACTCAGAAACCATTAAAATTGTTAAAGGACACTGCATAAAAATATGAAAATTATGTGTGACCAAAACCATAGTAAGCAAAGTCAAACAACAACGTAGGAAAAATATTTGCAGTTCTTTTAGTCAAAGGGCTAATTTCCCTAATAGATGGTTTTTTCACAAATCGGTAATAAATAAAGGACCAACAACTCAATAGGAAAGTGGGCAAAGGCTACCATCAGTTTACTGGAAATGAAATATAATTGTTTATTTAAAAATTTACTAAGATGCGTAGAATACAAATTGTACTCACAATATACTTATGTATAGTTTTACCTATTGGGTTGGCAAAAAAATAAAGTCTGATAGCACCGTATTGTAAGGATGGGAAGCAGACACTCATTCACTGCCAGTGAGAATCTAATTTGGCAAACCTCTCTGCGAAGGCTAATTTAACAGTTTTGGTCAAAATTGCAAATGTGTACATACTCTTTCACCCAGCAATTCCACTTCCAGGAATATATCTAGTTCATACTTCTATTGATTTGGGTTATTTTTTAAAATATATTTTTATTGATTTCAGAGAGGAACGGAGAGGGAGAGAGAAATAGAAACATCAATGATGAGTGAGAATCATTGATCAGGCTGTCTCCTGCACACTCCTCCCCACCCCCCGGATTGAGCCTGTAACCTGAGCATGTGCCCTTGACTGGAATCGAACCTGGGACCCTTCAGTCCGCAGGCTGATGCTCTATCTACTGAGTCAAAACACCTTGGGCAATTTGGGTTATTTTTTACCTTAAAGATTTTGACCCATTAGAATGGCTATAAAAAGATAGATAATAACAAGTGTTGGCAAGAATGTGGAGAAATTGGATCAGTCACACATTGCTGGTGAATGTAAAATGGTGCTGCAGCTTTGGAAAGCAGTTTGTCAGTTCATAAAAATGTTATCCTGTGACTCATCACCTCCACTCCTGGTATTTACCTAAAAAAATGAAAACATATGTTCACACAAGACCTTGTACACAAATGTTCATAGCAGCATCTATATATATATAAGGCTAATATGCAAAGTATCCCCTCAGGAGTTCGGCTGGGAGACCGGAAGTTCGATCGCTCCCTATGACTTGCACTGACCACCAGGGGGTGGCATGGAATGAAGGAAGGCCCCAGCCAGCCCTAATCGCTGGCCAGACCTAGAGACCTTACTCATGCACTAATTTCGTGCACTGGGCCTCTAGTTATTTATAATAGCCCCAAAGTGGAAACAACCCAAGTGCTCATCTACTGATGAATGGATAAAAAAAATGCAGTACATCCGTGCAATGAAATATTATCCAGCCATGAAAAGGAATGATGTACTGATAACATTCTACATCATGGATGAATCTCGGAAACATTATGCTAAGTGAAAGAAGCCAGTCACAGAAGGCTACATATTTTATGATTCCCTTATATGAAATTTCCAAAATAGGAAAATTTATATGAGCAGGAAGTAGATGATTGCTAGGGGCTGGGAGTGGGGAAGAAGAAAAGGGAGCGATGGCTAACAGGTATGGATTTCTTCTTGGGGTGATGAAATATTCCAGAATTAGATAGTGGATAAACAAAATGCACTATTATTATAACACAACTTTGTGAATATATTAAAAAACCATGAAATTATACACTTTAACAGGGTAAATTTTACGGTATGAATTATATCTCAATAAAATTTTAAAAAGATTTATGCACACACACAATTTTCCATGAACTCTCTCTTCCTGTGTATAAAAATGGTATCAGACACAACAGTTATAAAATGCAGGGAATTGAGTACCAAGGTGTGGCTGCCAGAAATATTTAACTCTCTGTCATTTGTTTGTAGGCAGCATAGCCTCCTTCCAGGCTCCAAATGCCGAACTTCGGCTGGTGATCCTTGCGCTTGGTGTGTCTTCCTCACTGATAGTGCAAGCCGTGACGTGGTGGACAGGAAGTGGTTTGCAAAGGTATGGTTTGAATCCTGTGCACCTATCTATATATATAAAAGCCTAAGCGACTGTTACCACCGAACCACTGGAAGGACCGGAACCACCGGTTGACCAGTTGCTATGATGCTCACTGACCACCAGCTCAACGCAGGAGCTGCCCCCTGGTGGTCAGTGCACTCCCACAGCCAACCTCCTGCGGCCCCTCCCCCCTGCCAGCTGGGCCCCCCCCAATAGGCCCCGATTGGGGGGCCAGCCAGCCAACCTCCCGGGGTCCCTTCCCCTGGCCAGCCAGCCCCCAATAGGCCTTGGTCACCGGCCAGGCCGAGGGATCCCACCCATGCATGAATTTGTGCACGAATTGGTACACTGGGTCTCTAGTAGATAAATAAGTGTATCCCAGCTGGTGTGGCTCAGTGGTTGAATGTCATCTTATGTCTCAGTGGTTGAATGTCATCCTATGAACCAGGAGGTCAAGGTTTGATTCCTGGTCAGGGCGCATATCTGGGTTACAGGCTCGATCCCCAGTAGAGGGTGTGCAGAAGGCAGTCGATCAATGATTCTCTTTCATCATTGATGTTTCTTTCTCTCCCGCTCCCTTCCTTTCTCTGAAATCAATAAAAACATATTTTAAAAAGGAGAGGGACATCTGTAATACTTTCAACAATGAAGATAACTTTAAAAAATAAGTGTAGTGATCAGTTACCAAAGGGGAAGTTGAGACCAAGAGTTCCAGGTTATTGTATTTACCTTCCATCTTGCCTTGTAGCAGTCTCTCTCTCCACCCACACCCCCTTTTCACAAGATCAGGGTGTGAATACTGCCGTCAGTCTTAATAATGTTTTGAGAATGAAGGAATTTTGACAAGTTGCCTAGATAATGGGCTAGATAAAGGCTAAATCATGTATATTACCACAAATTACCAATCAGACTATTTCATATATTCATTCTATGAAAGTATGAAATTCCTGATGGATGCAGTGCATTGAAAGCACACAAAAAGTCATTAAAAACACGTTCAACAGTAAAGATAAATTATAAAAAGAAAGAAAGAAACAACCAGAGGCAGAAAACAAACAAACAAAAAATACTTTTGCACTTCCAGGTACCTCAGAATCTGGGGATTCATGTTGGGACATATTCTTCTTGTTGTTCTCCGCATATGGTACACTTCACTAAACCCAATCTGGAGTTATCAGATGTCTAACAGGGTGATACTAACGTTAAGTACCATAGCCACACTTGATCGCATTTCCACAGGTAAGTGTATGCTGGATTTATTCAGGGATATTCTCTCTTGCCTAGTTTATATTTCTGATCTAAATGTAACCTATCTTGGAAAGATTAAAATAGTCCTTCTGAACTATTTCTCTTTTTCAACTTTTTCTCCCTCTGACTATTCTTGGCGGGGGGAAGGGGTGTGAGGGATGTGGGAAGAGACTGGACAAAAAGCGGGTGACAATAAAACGCTGTCTCTGGCTTGTGTCACTGTGGAGAGGGAGAGTAGACCAGGCCCTGTGCTCCCAGCTGGCTTTCAGCCCATCTTCCTCCTCTTCCCCTCTGGACAGGGCTCTCCAGGGTGGTGTCCTTCATCCCCCCCTCTCTCTGACCCCAGGGTATCTCCTTCACAGTGGAGAGTTATTTGCGAGCTAGGGCTGTGGGAACCACCTGGGCTTTTATTTCTAGGAGTCCGTCTAAGATAATTAAACTCTAAATCTGAAACTTGAAAAGAAAGGAAATCTTGCATATTCATACCACCGTTCAAATCGCCTGTCTCTCTCTGGTGATAGACACATACCAAACTTGGATGCTTGCTTCATAGGCTAACTCAACACCCTTCTGAAAAGAAGGGAGAAGTGTTACCAGGTTCTAATTAATTTGCCCCTGGCTCTTTGTGTGACTCTCAATGACTCACTGTTCTTTTGTAAATACGAGGACAGATCTCACAGATCCATGGAAGTTTAGAGGATTTTGGCTCACCATGAACAAAGTGCTTGTGTAATTCCCCTTTGGCCCTGATTCTAGCATGGGCTGGGGGTAGTGAGACTAGAGGAACATCATGCAAGTAAATTGGTCAAGTGACAGTAATATTAGTTAGAACATTTAGAACTTGGTTTAGTGTCCTAATATGTGTTTTATCCTCTATAATAAAAGGCTAATATGCAAATTGACTGAACGACTGGTCGCTGTGATGTGCACTGACCAACAGGGGGCAGATGCTCAATGCAGGAGTTGCCCACTGGTGGTCAGTGCACTCCCACAGGGGGAGCGCTGCTCAGCCAGAAGCCGGGCTCATGGCTGGCAAGCTCAGCGGCAGTGGTGGGAGCCTCTCTTGCCTCCGTGGCAGCGATAAGGACCCCTCAGGGAATGTCCGACTGCAAGAGGGCACAGGTTGGGCTGAGGGACCCCCCAGCCCAGTGCACGAATATTGTGCACCGGGCCTCTAGTATTTTATAAAACACTAACATCTAAAGGTGGAAACTCAGGCAGCAAATTTTACAGGTACAGCTTGATAAGGATTTGAACGTTAGGGGATCCTTTACCTTTCCTGACTTGTGTTTTCTTCTTGCTACTGTTTTTAATTTGTGTGACCCAGTTGTTGGTCCCTTCCTGCTTTTCCCCCTGTGGTCACATTTACAAAACTCCAGACTCCTCACCAGCTTCCCCAGGATATCTGATCATACCAGGCATTTTTTGTAGTTTTATTACATATCTGCTGGGTCCAGAGGCAAGGTCACCCACCACATATAGCATATTGCTCGGCAAATTTAGCTTCGGGATCTCTCTTCTCCAAAGACTGTTTAGCCTCAGGCCTTGACCTCCCCTCTGCCTTCACCACCTCTCCCATCCCCAGAGCTTTCAGCTCTGCTCCTCCTTTCTCGGACTCCTTTGCTGGCAGAATGGCTTTCTTCTTGTGAAATCGGGGTGCTGGTCCCTAGGGCAGCCCCAAAGGAGGCCTTCTGTCCCGCAGAGAGCTTCTGCCCAACAGGCTCTCCTTTCCTACAAAGAAATTTCCTGCCAGCACTTTCTCCTTGTTACATGTTTGTGTGGTAAGTCATTTATGCAATGAGCTGAGACCTGTTCATTAAACAGTCCTGGCAGACAAACAATGGGTCCGTGCTGCCTGTCACTACTCGGAGACAGGGTTGAATCATATATGAGCGTTTATTCCAATATCGCTGCAGTATGGGAGAGCAGCAGGTCATCCACAGAAATCTGCTCTGCCCCCACCATAAGCCAGCGGCTTATATAGTAGAAGTACAAAGGCAAGTAGGCAAGTAGGCAAATGGGCAGTTTACAGACATGCAAAAGGACTGGTGTCTTCAAAGGGCTTAGTGATATGCAAGGGCTGGGGTTACATGGGGAAATAGTGGGCCAAATAGGCAGTTAACAGGTGAGCAGAGGGTTGGGGATCTTCAAAGGGCTGGCGATTCTGGTTTCTGGCTCTGGTTCTGCAACAAAGTCGTTAGTCTTTCCACGATAATAGGAAGCTCCAAGTGGGGAGGAAGGGCTGCACTTCCAGGTGAGCTCCCAGGTCCTGGATAGATGCCAGCCAGGTGGGAATGTGCCTTCTTTAATCAGAATAAAACGATCATGGTTAACAGAGCATGATTAATATTTCTTACAATTCTAGCTTGTTTCCCAACATTCTATTTCTACCCCTATCAGAAGTATAGTCTAGTGAAGTACGCAGGCACTGCAGCGCCAAAGTTCCCATCCCTGTTTCTCGTGACTAGCTGATCTTGGACAAGTCACTTGCCTCTCTAGGCTTCCGTTTTCAAAATTGTAAAATGAGGTTAGTGATCGAGCCAACTTTATAAAGTTGTTGTGAAGATTAAATGAGCTCACAAAGAGGGCTCAGATCAGGGCAGGGCGCAGAGTCACTGCTCAGTCGATGCACTCTGTTACTCCGGCTACAGGGGTTCAGATGAGAGTCCTGTTCTTTGGGGGAGAAGCAGCCTGGTGTCCTGGAAATATTCCACTCCTTTGTTCCCCGAACATACCATTCACTTCTTTCACTTCTCCTACATCTAGTTTTGCTCCTACTGTTAACGTCACATGAAGTAACTGACTCGGCATTTTCACTTGTCCAATTTCAAGATGCTTGGTTCTCCCTAAACCCTTCCTGAGCTGGCTTGCCTAAAACAAGCTCTCCCACCAGCTAGCGCTGCTTTGTATCACAGTCGCTTGTCTCATTCCCCCTCCTAATGGAAGCCAGGTACCATTTCTTACTCGCTAAAAGTCTGTTAAAGGTAGAGGGCACATTTCCATGTAACCAATCCTTTTCCATTATTTTTTTATTCTAGATGGCGACTGCAGTAAACCTGAGGGGAAAAAGACCAGCGAGGCAGCCAAAGGGATGGCCTCTAGGCCTCCCTGGTTGCTGGCAGGGGCTGCCTTTGGCAGTCTTGTGTTCCTCACCCACTGGATTTTTGGAGAAGTCTCTCTTGTTTCCAGATGGGCAGTGAGTGGGCATCCCCATCGAGGGCCAGACCCTAACCCATTTGGGTGAGTTTGGGTTTGTTATGGTTGAAGGAAGAAGTGCCTTCTTTGTTGAGCAGCTAGATCTGTGCTGGCCAGATATTTCCTACTCTATTTCCCTTGGACATTAGAAATGGTGCATGACATTACTGTGCTCTCTGGGGACGGAGGAGACAGAAGAGTATGGGCCAATACTGAAGGATTGCTGCGAGGTGAATGAGGGAGGGTTGAAGGCTGTGCACAGCTAAGCAAGAGGTTCTGGGAGCTCCTGCACGGGCATCCTGAAACTCTGAGGAATCCCCGCACAGAAGACCATGCTCAGTGGCAGGGAAGGCATGGCACTCCCTGGCCATTTTCTCCAGAAACCTCCCCCACTTTCCCCATTACATTTGGTAGGATGAGACCAGAGTGCCCTGATGAGGGACTGGGTTGGCAGCCTGGGTGTAGGTCTTGATTCTCTGCAAAGGACGAAAGCCCTGGGAGATCTCTGCATCCTCTGTACTTTGGAACCTGCAGCAACCCTGGGGCACCCCGGAGTCAGCAGTCCTGAGTTTAAATGTTGGTCCATGTGCTCGGTCCTCATTATTCTCTCTCTACTCTTCCTGGAACCTCCTGCCTCCTGCAGCGAAGTCCATCCATTCATGTGAAAAGATTGGAGGGACCTTTAAAACATCTGTCTCAGATATGTTTTCTCTTAAAGTGCTGAAATTCCCATATTTGGATACATGTACAGATGTCTCAAGCTCAGCATCTGGGCACATCCCACAGATGTCTCAAGCTCAGCATGTCCACATCTGGACTCAGCAGCTCCCAGTCCCCAAACATGCTCTTCCTCCTCCATGCCTTGGTTCACTCTGCCAAGTCATCCTGCGATTCTGAGTCTTCTTCATTTTCTGAATCTAATTGGGCGTTATGTTCGGTCAGTTCTACTGCTTCTCTGAAAGAATCTATACCTTCTTCCCTGTCTGCAACCACATCTGCCTCAGCGGAGTCCTCACCATCTTTCACCCAGGCCATGCTATTGTCTTCTAATGGTCTCTCTCTGGTGCGGCTTTCTCCACACTGCCCCAGAGTGAGCTCTCTAAAATGCAAATCTGACTCCATCCCTCCCTTGCTTGAAACCTTCCAGGTCTTCTTC